CCCTAAACTTTGCCACCACCAGGTACTGGTCAGTATCACAATCTGCTGCCCTGAATGATCAGACATCAAGTATACTTGAGTGCCATCTCCTATCTATCAAATTGTGGTCTATTTGATTGTGTATCTTCCCATCAGGAGATGTCCAAATAAATTTATGGATGTTACGATGTGGGAACATGGTACTTTTGACAGTAAGATTTTTGATGTGGCAAAGTTTACTACTCTAACTCAATTATCATTACTAATTTCATGCAAACTCTCATTCCCAATTGTTGGTTTGAAATTTTCATAGAGTACTTCAGGAATTTATCAAATAGATGTTCTAGTTGTTCATAGAATCTGTCCTTTATGTCATCAATTTTATCTTCTGTTGGGGCATGAACAATGATATCACACCAGCGACCTTTTTGTATTATATATGATATCCTATCACTAACGAATTCTACCCTCTTAACTGCTGATACGATTCTCTTATGTATGAAAAAACCCTGTACCTAATTCATGATTTTCATTCCCCTTTCCATAGAAATATGTATAGGCTCCTGCTGGTGCGATGCCACCTTCATCCCATCTGACCTCCTGTACCCCCGCAAAATATAACATGTTTTAACATGTTGTAACATCTAACATGTTGTAGTGTTCAACAGATGGCGCTACAGTTTTAAATATTTTCTTGTTAACTCTCGCTCAGTTAGCTTGGTCTCAAGTGATTAACTTTCTGCGTGATTATAAGGGTGGTTGAGGGTGGGGTCCCACGCTTCCATCCTCAGTACCTCCTGCCCTACCCTATAAAATGAATTCTTCAGAGGAGCGGTTTGCACAGACCAATAAGATACTAAGATGCTATATTTTAACTACACTTCGTGGCTTTCCATGAGGTTTAAGTCCACAGATGGCGCTACACTTCTTATACATTTATTCTTAACTTTCGCTGAATTATCTTGGTCTCAAGTGAATAACTTCAAGTCACCCCTAAGGGCGGAGGTGGGCCGAAATTTTTTTCTTTTTGATCCCATGTGGATTTTAATAAAACCCGCTTAGGAGAGTGTCTTAATGAGCGGCCGCAAAAAAGCAAAAAATCTTCCCTCATCCCGGTCCCTCCCTCTATCTCTCCTCCTCCTTTACCCTAACTCCTAATTTTTTCCATTTTCTTTTTACAAAAATCCTACAGGTTTTGAACCAGGGACCTTCTGAACACTAAGCTGATGTCTTACTCCTACACCACCAGCTCCACAGAAATTTATTTTGTAAAATCTTCCTCTTAAGCTACATCTTCGGTTATTATTCCAGAAAAATCATATTAACTCACTTTGTATATCACAAAAATATCCTTGGCCTTGAACTTCTCATCACTACGCCGGTGTTTTACCAATGAGCCACCAATGCCACGGAAATTTTTGACCTTTAATCTTCTTCTTATGTTACATCTCGCTATATAATTCCATAAAAATTTCATTACTTTCATTCATTTCTTGTGTTTTCGAACCACGAACTTTACATATACAACGCCGGTGCCTTACCTCTAGACCACCAGAACATCTATGCTACAATCTTCTGCGATCCTCCTCATATTTTATGACTTGGTTTATAGCTGCAGATCGGATTAGTTGAACATGTCATTTGAGCTGATTTCTTATACTTTCTGTACCTGCTATAAATTCCGATCAGCCAGCCCAGTTTGGACATTTCTCCCTTATGGATTCTTCATGGATTACTGGGGTTTAGTCTTATTTCATAGAAGTCGCCCTGGTTGCATGATTCTTTATCTGCATATTTTTTACCCTCACTTTCAACTTAATTCCTGGAACCTAACCCATACCACTGTTTTATCACATTTTTGACATGTGCATGGTTGGCACAAGAGTTCTATCTTGTCTTTTATTGCGATTTTATTCTTATCTCCCAATAATGGAACCTGTTGTCAGGTGTTTATAGGCTGTTCTCTACTGACCGCCAGTTGTCCAGTGATTGAGACTAGCTGTTTCTAACTGGTCCAATCTCTATCTGAGGACGGAGACAGAGCCAGTCTCCGAAACATTGTGTGCTTTTTTTGTCATACCAGACGATGGGTAGAGTCCAAAATAAGCCTAATAATTCTGTACAAAACTATAATATTGCTTGTGGTTCTGTATGGGTATGAAACTTGGGTTTCTGATATTAAGGGAGTAACATAGACTAAGGGTGTTTGAGAACAGTGTGTTGAGAATAGTTGAGAATATTTGGACCGATGAGAGATGAATTGACGGCCCTACCCACCTTTGGGGATCACGGAGAAAGTTAATCACTTGAGACCAAGCTAATTCAGTGAGAGTTAACAAGAAAATATAAAATAACTGTAGCCCATCTGTGGACTAAAACCCTTAACATCACCCAATTATTTAATCACTTGAGACCAAGCTAATTCAGCGAAGTCTCGATACCCGGCGGCGAGGGAGAGATTTTTCTCTAATTCACAATGTCCGGACCAACTCGGGGGCCGACTAAGCATCCTATCCGATGCGTATCTGGGGTTCTTTCTTGGGGGCTAATGCCGCCGGGACATAAAGCTAGCCACTCACCTCCAGCTATTGCCGAAGTTATGAACAGCCGAGATACATCTCCACTTCTTCATACGTCTTCATGGCGTAGTCCTAATTAATTAATTAATTATATAGGGACAAATTTCCTTTTACTTTCGCTTATGGGTCTGAGGATTCTAGTCGATTCTCAAAATTCTACCCAAATATTTACACAACCATAGCTACCGTACATACTGGTAAGAGTGTGGAGTAAATTTGATAATGTAATTTGGTGTTCTGTCTTCGGACCGAAGTAGGGAACAGGAATAAAAGAAATATAGACCTAGCAGATAACACGTACAGACTGCAGAAAAGCGCCTTTTAATATAGCAAAAAGCATCAATGAAACAGTGGTTTCATCTTAACATTAAACAATCGCGCACAGCAGTCGAACTTCCCTGCGAAGAAGGCAATGCAGAGAAGGTTGAAACAAATCGAAACAAAAATCTGATTTGCGGAGTTTTCAGCGGATACCTTGCCTGGCGTGGAATTATAGTGTATAATCATGGGTTTGGGGCAAAAAGGGAAGTTAAATTATATTGAGGTTTTAACCCGCATGCATTAAAACCTGGAAGCTACGCCCAAGTGGCAGGCAATCCCTCTGGCGTCAAATTAGGCCAGAAAATTATTCCCAATTTGAACGTTCTAATGCGATTCCAGTAAATGTGCTTCGTTGCCAGATGCTCGCGAACGTCTCTCGGTGTTACTTCAGACTTCTCTACAGCAGCAAAATAATAGATGCAAATTTACAACATAGTGATATGGAGTGATTCTTTAAAGAGAACGTCAGGTATCAGAGGGTTAGGGCCATTTGAGTGAAAGGCATAGGCCTATGCAAAGGACAGTTGATTAAACGCGAATTTCATTCAAAGTAATGTGTTTGCAACACATTTTGTTAAAACAAATTTTGAAACCCAGTACAAAGACTAGCTACGGACTGGACGGCAGGGGCTCGATTCCAGGCACGGGCAACATTTTTTCCAGCTCCAAAAAATCCAAACCGGCTCTGGAACCACCCATCCCCCTATCCATTGGGTACCCGGGGCTCTTTCTCCATGGTTAAAGCGGTCGCGGCGTGAAGCTATTCACTTCCATCTAGTGTCGAGTTCACGAATGGTGGAGCTACACCTCCACCCCTTTATATGTCTTCATAGCATAGAGCTCAATTAATTAAGAACACAGACAACTTCACTAATTTTTATTGTGCGCTAGCATGTTGGATATACACGTATCACCAAGAACGACGAAGCGTGGTTTCAGACACCGCCTGCAGAGCCATGAGCGAAATGTCGGCAGTGACTGTGGATAAGTTAGGCTTTAAGTTATCCATGTTGTGTGTGTTATTGCAATAGGTTTTGACATGTGTAGCCTCATATCCAAATATCTGGTGTGAAAAATCTGCGATCGTCGGGATCATACTCCTTTTGAAACTATTCTATCTAAAACTACAGGGCTAGCTCGCGCAGTGTGCCATGTTGTAACTATGTCTAGCTATTTCCTCTTCAGCAAGGTGTGGCAATAATGCATGGACAATGTCAATATAGCGTTCCCAGTTACTGGTGTTTTTGTAACGTTCCATCAAGAACACACGCTTCTATGCACTGAACGCCATGTTGGTTACTGCTTGCACTGAGTATCTGAATTTTGCCAAAATGGACCCAGCCCTCTAATACATGACATTATTAAAATTCCTGACACTACCTTCTCTTTAAAATGTATACCACTCTGCATTTTATAAGTGAAGAGCAGACTATTCTATCGCAAAAAAAAAAAAAAAAATCCGCCATATTTTTAGAATGTAGGGCTGCATGCAAAATACTAAAATCGTACCTCACGAAGGACCAATCTTTTACCAATGTAATCCATTTTTTCTGAGGTACCAGAATTTATACTCACAAAACTGTCATCAATTACAGACGCAGGTCTGCATTCGAGGATTTCTAGTACAGCTGTTCAAATGGAAATCACTTCGGCATATTTCGTCCCTGCACTTTGTAACTACGTAGTACATCATTTTCACTGTAAAAGTATAGACATTAGGGTGAATTTTTTTTACATTGCACGCATTTTGTCCTGAAACAAATGTTAATCTGAAGGGTATGGTTTTCTAGGATGTAACGCCATGTAGTACGAACAATTCCTCAGCCTACACCCTTTAACCCTGAAAATGGAGACAGAATAGTCTTCTGAATCATGAGGATCAGCCAATTAGTCTACGATGTCTTACAGTTCAGAAGGCCATAGTCTGAACTATCAGGCAATAAGTCTATGCTGTCTCACAAGTCAGAACATAATCAGGCAATAAGTCTATGCTGTCTCACAAGTCAGAACATAATCAGGCAATAAGTCTATGCTGTCTCACAAGTCAGAAGACCACAGTCTGAACTACCACCTCCGCTGAAAGCTCAAAACGTATAATCAATGTCTTCTCATATTTTTCAGGTAATGATCTACTTGATTGAGGGAGTTCTGCCGGAAAGCTACTTTGCAAACAATCTACGTGGATTGTCTGTTGACATGGCTGTGTTCAGGGACCTCCTGAGACTAAGAATGCCGACATTGTCGCGACACCTGGAGCAACTGCAGCATGATGCCAGAGACAGTGCAACGGGTAAGACTGTGTTACGCGTTTTATATATTCTTGTAAAGAAATTATGGCGATTATGACACAGAATGGACGACAAAGAAAAGAATAGTGACTGTAAGGAAATATCCCTTAATTTGCTTGGAGAAAAGGAGGATTACCACTAAGAACCTCTTTTAGGATACCAGTCCTTTATTGAGATTCACCTAAATTACGGCCTCACAATTCCAGTTATGGTCTTAGTACAAAGAAGTGCAGGAAACTGTTTTCTACATTGAAGATAAATACAGAAAATTTAAGGAAACAATATCCACTCGCTTTTCTTCGGATCGGCGCTGCAGTCCAGGCAAAGAAAGTGGCCTCCTGGGGAGGCAAAATTTTAGGAGTGGCATATTTTATATAAGCCGCGCCATAGCTCATGCGGGTAGTCGCTGCCTTCCCACCGCGGCGGCCCGGGTTCGATCCCGGGTCTGGTGAAGTGGGATTTGTAGTGGACAAAGTGGCGCTGGGGCGGGTTTTCTCCGAGTACTTCGGTTTCCCCTGCCAATCTTTATTCCACCAAATACTCCATCATCATAATCACCCGGAGCAGGCTACAATAGGCCAATCAGTGGCCCCCGTGCCAAGTGGACCCAGTTGGACTCCAACGCCCCCCCACTAAGCGAATTTAAAAGAAAACGAATTAAAAAAAAAGTTTTATGAACCATCCATTTTTATTATTTTAATTAAAAATATTTTTTGGTCTTTTGTTCATATTGTGACTTAATTGGCTATAATTGAAACATATTATGCAACATTATAAAAAAGCTGTTTTAAGAGTTACGACAACAGTGACGATTTTTGGCACAGTGGAAATATCACGTTACTAATTATGGCGAAATTTCGAGTACCTTGACCCGTTTTAACTGGGAGTCTCCAGTTGTCCGCGGTGACACTGAGGTTTACGCCCAGCGCCTCTGCCTATGACAATTTTAATTTTGAACCACTTAATTCAATAGGATTTTGTTTTGTTTTTACATTGTAACAGACAATAATTTTTTATTTGATTTGTTTCATTCTTTACTGAAAGACACTGTCTCAGCTGCATACATAATGTAGCATTTGTGAATGTGTAAACCATGCATTCGAAATTATGTGAAAGGAAGCAACTGTGGCCTATGTAAAATTCTATCCCAGAGTTTGCCTAAAGGGACTGCGAAAAATCACAAAATACCCACGACAGTCAATCTTGAAGCAGATATTGGAACCTACGTCATTCTGAATATGAAGCAGGAATCTAACTACCTCACTTCAATGTGTTATAAAAATACTTGAAAGAATCAATAGTACTCATAGTAGTAGTAGTAGTAGTAATGATGGTGTTGGAAGTGGTGATGGTGGTGCTGGAGGCAGCGACAGCAGTTTTGGTGATGATANTGGTTGTAGTGGTAGTGGTAATAGCGATAGTGGTGGTAGTAACAGCAGCAGTAGTAGTAGTAGTAGTAGTAGTAGTAGTAATGATGGTGTTGGAAGTGGTGATGGTGGTGCTGGAGGCAGCGACAGCAGTTTTGGTAATGATATGCCTGTATGTATACTTTCAGGGACAAGTTATGAACCGCCTCTGACTAATGTGTTCACAATGCAATGGTTCCTCACACTGTTCTCCAACTGTCTGCCACAACCAACAGTGCTCCGTGTCTGGGACCTCATTTTTCTTGAGGGCAATGAGGTGTTGTTGAGGACAGCACTGGCAATTTGGGATGGGCTGGCAGAGTAAGTCATGGATTGTTTCTTGCTGGCCTTATGATTAAATCTACAAGAAAAGAATAAACATAGATTTAGAAATTAATTATATTAAAACAAATATGTGTACCAGGAATCTTCTTGGAGGGTAAAGGGTGGCCAGCACATAAGGCTGGCAACCTCACCGCCATCTGTGATTCAATTGTCTAGAAGATTTGGGAGCCTCAACATCTCACAATCCATAGGCCTTCACGGCTTGTTACAGGGATAGCTTTACCTTTTTCTATATCAATTGTAAAATATTGCCATGTCACCTAAACAAGCAAAATAATGACTGCCATTCACAAATGCATACTCTATGAATCTAATAGGCATAACCCAAGGTGGGTGATAATTATGAACTTGCATAAATTGTAGCTGATTTCAAGTTGTCTACTCTACTTTCCCATGTTAAAAATCAGGGTGATCTAGTAGTTACCATATATTTGCAGTAAAGGAATTACAGGTGTAATCCAACTTTTGACACTAGTATTGAAAATAAGAATCATGGTGACATAGAGTGGCATGTTAGCTCAGAGTAAGAAGTGTGGAGCCAGAAGGAATGTCTACTGCTAGGGAGCAGCATGGTGATAGTATGTGACTCACTGTTTTCTATGAGGTTCACACCAAGTTCCTATGGCAACAGGTATGCACACAACAGTGGAGGAACTGTTGGAGGCGAGTTTTTCCATGTGGTCTGCATTGAGGCTGTGTAAGGAGTAAATTGCTTATTTTAAGCTGTTCTGGCTCGGGCACCAGTCGAGAATTATCAGCTGAAGTTGGAGGTTGACAATGAGAAGTCGGTCCAGCCTGGGAGCTGGCAGCTGAAGGCTGTACCGACTGAAGCGAGCAGTCGGAGGGTGAGGTTGGCTTGAGATGGTCGCCAACCTACAAGGATGTGAATCCAGAAACAGAGGAATATCCGCCATTGGAAGCCACTACCAAGTAACGTGTGTGACAGTGATCTGTGAAGAGTAGTGCAGAGCTGTAACAGTGTCCAGTAAATCCAGCTGTCATTCCAAACCCCTTCTACAGTCACTCTAACACGTGAAAATATTGTAGTGTATTTCCTTAAAGCAAGAGCTGTAAAAGCAGAGAAACAGTCGTTGCTAGGTAATGGCCCATACACACACAGCAGAGGAATGCGTCACATATGCTGTGACATCATGCAACAATAGAAGATGTTTCGAAAACGGCATTCTTTGTGGGTCCGCAGCATGCTCCATGCTATGTAACCATGCAGTAAACACATCTCTGCAGCAGTGAATCAACATGGAACAACAGGGAATGTATGAATATATAAGGGGTGGGCCTTCTCGGCCCTTGCACTGCGACCTACAATGGTCTATTGTGCTTGAATAATAGGGAAAGTGGTGTTTTCTGTGGGTCCACCCCAAGGCTATATAAAGAGGATCTCATGCAGCTGGAAATAGAACTGAGTTGAGTTCCGGGTTTGGCAGTTGCAGCAGAGAATTGAGAATGTTATTGAGAAAGAAATGGCAAGAAAGCAATTAGATCATGCAGAGAAGACTTCATGTGTGATTTGATGTTACAGTGAGACTGTAAAATGTGGAAATAGCAATCACGTTGTAATTGCCTCTGGTTATGACTTGAAAGTATGTAGTGTCAAAAAATTCAATCATCCAATCCTGTCTATAAATCATGCACGAACCTAAATCGTGCCAGTATATAAGACAGGTGATTTCCATGGTTTAGAACACAAATCTAAATCATAAAATATTTTCCTTCCCAATAAACAGGCGTGCCTGGTGGAGAAGTTTAATAGAAATAGGTTAAAGATTTGTCATTGAAATATTTAGTGCTTAATTCTAGTGCTGAGGTCATGAAAGATGGAGCTATATATCCACCCACCCATGTGTCTTCGTGGTGTAGCACTTAATTAATTTAGCACAATGAAAATTTTACATTTAAGTATTACAAGTTCAGTGGTGCAGTACTAAATACATTTCTCAAATATATTGAGTTTTGAAATCATAAAAGTAATTGTTACATACAAATACTTTTCTATGTGTAAGTGTAAATATAATGTAAATATTATTTAATTATTATTTGTTATGATAAAATATAGTACAATGTATTTAAAGCTGAATCTGACTAAACAGTAGAGTAGTCATGTTGCATAAGTTTTTGGTCTGTGTTTGGGTCATATGTTTGTTAATACATGGGGTAAACCTGAAGCATCAGCAATTTTTATACCATTGCCTCCTCCAAATAATGTGCCTCAAGAAAATTTACTTTGGTTTTGTTTTGCAGTCGCATCATGGCTGTGGACAGTGCTGATGAGTTTTATAGCATCATGGGTGTTCTGACTCGAGAGATGCTGGAGTTTGGTCTCATGGATACAAATAATTTAATCAAGGTACTGCACAAATCTCAGACTTATCTTATAAATCTTACAAATCTTATAATTTGGTCAACCAATCTTGAATCTGGTGAAAGTTAAAACACAGCAACAACATAAGGAAAGCTATCCAACATTGATTGTGAGCTGTTATAATTGATTGTAATTGAGAGTGACTGTAATAGAAGGCGTTAATAAATCCAGTAATCCAATCCAGAACCTGTTATTATTTGCCATGCAAACTCCTAATATGTGACAATATCTTCAAATTTTGCACAGGTCTCACGAGTTGTCTGAAACCTCTATGTCAAAAGACTGAAGTGTTTATGCATTTTTTTTCTCTCCCATGTTCCTGGACTATGTAAAATTTCATAATATGTTCATTGTTTTACAATGAGGGACTTTTGTCACAAGCCCAAAGCCCAACACTGCGAGCTGCCTATGGTCGTTTATTCAACATATTTGCAAATACTCACCATATAAAAAAAATTAAAGCTATCCCTGTATCAGGCCGTGAAGGCCATAGGGTTGTGAGACGTTGAGGGTCCCACACTATCTAGACAATCGGCTCAAAGATGGCGGTAAGGTTGTCAGCCTTACGTGCTGGCCACGTTTTACTCCCCAGGAAAATTATTTAATTAATTCCTGGTACTCATTTCTGTTAGAGGCTGAGTAAACCCCAGGGTCTAGTGCAGCTGGAAGGATTAGGTCAACTGAAAAAAAAATCCAATGACCTCATAGGGACTTGAACCCACGACCTTCCAGCTTGTAGCATAACCCCTCAACCAACTACGCTACCGCATGCATCCTACTCACCATATATGACATAAATAAATTACAATATGTTTATGTTTATTCTTTGTCATCTCCAGCTTGTAGCTCATTCTTGAAGCAGCAATTGACAGAACAGCTAAAACTGGACAAGACCTGTGGTTTCATGTAGCATGGAGTTCAAATTGGTGTGTGTGTGTGTGCTTGTGTGCATGTATGTGCAGGTATGCATGTGTGTTTTCATCTCCAGACAAACAGATAACGTCCATACACACACACACACACATATTTGAATGAATGTGTCTGTTTGTGTGTATGTTATGATCCATAGAGAACTAGATAATGTCCTAATACACACAGATGCACTTCAAGGGTCTAAGGCCATACTTTCGTAACTGCTTTTGCGGAATAAGTGAATGTGTGATCTCAAAGGCTCAAATTGCAAACCTTTGAAATCTAAAAACTAAGAAATACCGGTGTAAGAGTTTGAAGATCTGAAATTAATTTATGTAAGTTTTGAAGTTTTCATGGTAGTAATTACTGAGATTAAGGTCTTCTGGTTTGTGACACCATGCAGTTTTGTAGGCAGATAATGATGTTTCAGGTGAACATGCTGCCCGTCTTCAGTGTTGAAGTTTCTAGGTTTAGGAACACGATTGGTTATCAGTACATGTAGCATAATTGCTTGAGGCACCATGCTACAAGCTGGAAGGTTGCAGGTTTGATTCTTGATGAGGTCACTGGATTTTTCCAATTGACATAATTCTTCCAGCCGCACTATGGCCCTGGGGTCGACTCTGCCTCTAACAGAAATGAGTACTAGGAATCTTCCTTGGGGTAAAGGGCAGCTGGCACATAATGCTGACAACCTCAATGCTATTTGTTAGCCAACTCTCTAGAAAATGTGGGAACTTCGACGTCTCGCAACCCTATGGGGTTCCTATATAGGAAAGTTACAAGAAATGTGTTCATGTGACTCAAGGAGAGGGATTAAAAATAGAATCTGATCTGAGGCAGTGGAAATAAATGGACATAAGATGGGCCTGAATACAAGGCAGTATGTTTGTCCAAAATGTTGCTATCCACACATGAAACTACATGGTGTCCCAATGCAAAAGACCACAATATTTCCTTTCAATTAATTTGTTGACTATGTACTTCTGATGTTGCAGACAATTGTAACTATTGCACCATTCCCATTCCCTGAGTTGCCAGAGCTCAGGGACAAATATCTATATAATATCACACCCTGGACACAAACTGTGTCCACAGCTGCACGCCGAGGACTGAGGCTCTTCTATTCCGATGATGATGATGATGGTACAGATGAAGATGATGAAAAAATAGCTGTTGCTGCAGCATATGGTATATCTGCAGTCTTCAGGTCCCCCCGAAGGAAAGGTACAACTTTTCTTGATAGTATATATAATTCTCAGCTATCTATCCACCTGCCTGTATGCTTTGCTTTTAGAAATTACATACATAAAGTAAGGGCTAATGAAAAATGCCTCATCTTATTAGTTTCTTCTGCTAACTTCAACTTGCAGAGTAAATTTAACATTATTGGCTTATATCCAGTTTATTTCCCTTCAACTTTCCAAAATATAATAATATTTTCCTGCCATATAATTTAATTGGTTAACATGTTCAGAAATATAAGTTTTACAGGAGAAAACACGTCTCTTCCAGAATTAGAATGAGTTGGAATTTGGGATGTTGTAATAATAACAGATAACCATATAATGCAATATATATTTTCTTGAAAACAGTTGACTGTCATGTCAAGAAGTACTTTTTGTAGATGTTCCCTTTTTCCAGCTTACACATATATGACTCATGGATAATGAAAATACATCGTTTTGATGGCATATAAACAGCATTTGTCAATCAGAAAGACTATTTTGTCAAAAAAACAGAATATCGAAGGAAAATATTTACATTAATGCACATTCCAAATTCTTCAGAATATTCCTCAGATCCGATTACTGGTCCTGTATTATTTCTGTATGTAAACACATCTTAGCAGAAACATACAGCATAAAACTTTTAATATTGTTCATTTCTTTACAAGTCTTCCAGCATATACTCTGAAATAATCTGCTGTGGGTAAATGCAGTTTTCAGAGAGAAAACTATTCAGTGGTAGTTCTGCCAATAAACATGCAAACAGCAAGCACTCCAAGATAAGAAGAATTAATTCAAGATTCATTACATTTTCAAACTTTGGAAAAACCTATATACTTTCTTCAAACATCCATTCCATAATGTCTGTGTGTCAAATATGATATGTCATACTGACAAGACCACAATTTTATATATATGGCACGTATAAAAAATTATGTTGCCATATTTTGAACAGACAACTTATTGATTTGAAATTTTTCTCAAAGAGTGATATATTACTTGTGTGGATAAATTTTATTTTCTCCCTGATTTTACACTAAATTATAGTAAAATTCGACCATAAGCATGGAAGGAATGACTCCTTATTGGAAAATAAATATTTTCCTAAATCTTCCAGCAGAAGCTAAACTTAATAAATATTGTAAAAGTGTGTGATCTGGCATTTAGCAGAAATCAATCTGAGAAGATAAAGTATTCTCTGATTATTCTTGTGCCTTTATAGGAAGGTTTACAGTCCTACAGACCACATATTAAGTTGCTCATTCTGTCCATCTGTCTGTGTGCATTAAACAATTTGAGAACTGTAGGACTGACTTTCCTTACATTTACTATGGAAAAATTTTACAGAAAATTGTTGAACCTCTTCAACTGTCAGTTGCGGTGGGTAATATTAAAAACTTTACTTAAAAAATGAAGACCTAAGTGCATTTCTGTGAGTACCTTGACTGTAACTCAAGGTAGCAAAGAAAGTTCAAAAGAGAAGTTGCTGAGAATGATGAAATTTGCCTTTTGTTCAATACTTTCTCCATAAATCTTATGGTTTTTTTAGGTAATTAAACAAATCAGATGCTATGCATACTTTTAAAATAAATTATTCCTGACTATCCAAGTTTCTTATTATTCATGTATCTTATCCCTTTCATTAGTGTATCTGATATATATTTATCAGCATATTGGTTTAAACACGTGCAAACTTTATTTGAGCATTTGTAGCCTATTACAATTCTTATTTGGCTTGTTCGAATTGCTTCCTCATATGATACATCCCCTTAACTACAGTCCAAATCTTTTGTTCCTTAAATAAATATATGATTATACAAATATTATATTGGACATTGTCTGAGTTTTATTTGATATACACATTTTGAAGATTGGCTATAGGCCTATCTTCTTCCACTAATTGGTTGCTATTATACTCAGATAGTTTTATTCCGTTCTAAATTTTAATACTAGTGACAATGTCTGGGCTTGACTCTGGGACGTTTTGAATAGTAGGCTAGTACTTCAACCTCTTGGCATCCAGGATGGCCTTAATAGGTAAGGCATGACTCAAATTTCAGCCCAGCCTGTAGTTAGTTAAAAGCCAACCCAATAGCTGATGAATACTAAGCTAGTATGCTTAGCACTAGGTGGCTTGTAGGTGCTAAGTACTAGGTTCAAATCTTGGCCAGGATGACAGGTATACTGAGTTGGGTATCTCATGGTTTTCCTCAGCCCTACCAGGATAGGATCTAAATTAGGCCATGGCCACTTCTTCCAGATCCTTTGCAATTCATCATTCACCAATCATCATAACATCTGATACTATATAGTCTCAGTACTGGAAGCATAATTACATATGCCATGAATAAGAACTGGGGCACCACATATATAAAATATACACTAGAAAATGTCTACATACAACATAATACTGATGTAATAGTCAGTCACTGTTACAGACCTTTACAGAACAGATTATTATTTCACTGTAGTTATTGAAATTATTGAATTCCAGATTCCTTGACTCGAGCCCCATCACCATCTTCTTCCCTATCAACTATAAATTATAGCCCTGCTACAGCTGATAAGGACCGCCTAGCACTGGATATATCAGCACTGAAGCAACAATATGCCAAGCTACGAGAGCGACAGCGCCAAGCACATATCATTCTCACTGGTAAAATTCTACATCATTATTAGCTATTTAAATGTTAAGAATGAGCTATCTCATTTAGCATAACTAATTCTTTTGTGACTAAATCATATTTTTTTTATTTAGCTAAGCTGTTTAAATGGAACTTATGATATAATTTCTATTTGTGACCTTGTACACTATGTATAATGGAAATACAAAAGTGAAACAACTTTGTTTCTATAGAAACTTGACTTGGGAAGAGTTAAATATGATGTAATGAGCTTAACAGCCTTCTGGTACAGATAAAAATTATGTCTGAGGTCCTACAGAGGAGATCATTTGTGATATCTGAGCATAAATGAGAGGATAATATTAAAAATATGAACCAGTTATGGGCTCTTGTGACATGTTGATGAACCTTCAGGTTCCATATGAAGCAGGTAATCCCTTGACTAGATGAGTGGCTGTTGACTCTTGAAGGACTGTGTTACATGAATTTAATTACTTATGATTGAGATGATGTACATCAGAACATATGTTATCATTGAAATGAAATTAATTAATATTCTGTGCTTAAGTCAATGAAAACAACGAGATTAGGTGTGTTTCATTCGCACAAATTCTCTTCCATTCACTGGTTGTTTTAACATATTTAACATGCATACAATCTATAATATGTAACAAAAAATAAACATTAAAAGATTAGCTGAAAATATATGAATATCAATAAAATATGTGGTATTGCTTGGTTATTTGAATATGCTCCAGAATCATTATCTCCTTGTGAGCTAATATCAATTTGTTCATGTGTTAAACATAGCACATAAGGTATATTTTGTCCAACTTTATCCTCTAGGAATGTAAGTACTATGATCAGAAAGCCTGTCTGTTTAAATGTTAGTTTGCAAGTTTTGAACAGACTTTCCTACAAGTTATGACATAATATGTCTTATAAAGGTGTTTTATGGATAAATATTTAAACAATTTATAATTTAGTCACTTTTATGACATTCTATAATAAGACGAAATTAATTAAGCAAATAATTCCTACAAATTAATACAAACCAGCATGTTTTGACATATCTGTATTATTTACGATAAGAAATCTTTGACCATGCAAAAGATTTTATATTTCTTTGATCTATTGATATGCATGTTACAAAATGTTTAAACTTGCTTTTTTCTTACATTAGCAGCTTGTGCCCGACAGCCATTAGGACCACCAGTTCCTACCCCTGCTGCTATGAACCATCTGCTGTTAGGCAAGAGTGCACTACTCAGTGTGAGGGGCAAGAGAGGTGGTCCACCTCCAGGGGCAGTGCCACCCCCAGCAAATATTGCCTTAAAATCTGCTCCTAAACCACACAGGGGGCGTCAACAACTCCACATTACTCCTCAAGGTACTGTGGGACTTCAAAGCAAGATATCTTGTGCCTAGTTTGCCTAGTTGAAAGTGTTTCATTTTTGATCTGTAAGACACATCACTGTCTGGCCTGGTAACCACATATAGCACACAACGATGGAGAATTTGACAACCCTATATCATCTATTTCAAATACCTAAAAATCATGAAAGTTTTTGTGCTGTCTTACCCTTAGATGATAATTTTATATTTATAAAATCTGTGATCATATTCTGTATATTGAGATATAATTTGACCATTTGAATGTGCTTATTTTTTACAGAGGGTATCTTCCCCTACAGCTATCACATTACATGGGTTAAAACCTAACATTGTAGAAGTCCTTGTAGTTAGAGAATTAGCCACCAGGTGCCCGTAAGAGAAGCACTAATACTGCAGATGACATTGCAGTCCCAACCGTCTCCAAACACAAATTTTTATGTTTAGAGCTGCACATCCAGTAAAATCGTAATTTGATGAATGTAAAAGTGGATCAGTATATGGGTCATCTGTGGAAAATATGATGGATAAAAATTGTTTACTTCAGAGGTTCTTTGCATTTGGGACTATTCAGAATCAACACAAGGGAAATGGAGTGTATGGTGGTAATGTCAAGCTCTTGAAAATTTATAAATGTCAGTTAGTGTTTATTTTATATCTGAAGGCCAAATTACCACCACCAACTGTTATAACTGGTCAAGTTGTAACTGAAAGGTACGGGTATATCTCTGTTGCTTGTTTATTGTTTATTGTTATTAAATAACTCCACAAATCCTGTACAGGGGCTTTAGCACCCATAGGATATAGAGCTAGTCAAACTTATACAATCTCATACAAAACATAAAAAGATACATGGTGTAACATTAAATTAAGCCATATCATAACAACATAGATTCATACACTGTTAGAAATACAACCTTTTACTTCTTACTACTCCAAGTTCATTTGTCACAATCATTAAACATTAATCATAAAACAATATCACATAATACTAAGTAATAAACATAATTAAAATTAAAAAATATAACATACAGTTAATCCCATTTACATCCAATCAGTATTGCTTAGTTGCAAACTAGAAAATAGCTATTATGATTTTGTGTTGCCAGGTGCAGCAGGAGAGGAGTTTGGTATTTTTGCTTGTCTTTTATAAAATTTATCACGTTATTGAGGGTAGGTACTTTTAATGAATAAGATCTACAAATTTGTGATGATGATATATTAATAAAATTATTGTGTTTCTGGACATTATCCATCATCCTGTTTCTATTTAAAATACACAGTGTTTCAGAGACTGAATTTTGTCTCTGTCTTCAGGTGGAACCTACTTATTTAGGCCCAGTCAATAGAATGAGTCCCTATCTCCATTCACCAGCACAAAGCAGACTTGATCCAAAATATAAATATTCATAGTTATGATACAAGAATAAACAAGGATTTTCATGTTCAATTCTTCAGAACTACATTATTTAAAAAAGTTTGGTAAATATGGGGATAGAATTGTATAGTAAGGTGCCAAACAAAATAAAGAACTCGGTGGGGTTTTCAGCTTTTAAAAAAGACTTCAAATATTTTTTATTGAAACATTCTTTTTATACAATAAATGAATTAATTAGTTTTAATAAAAAAGTGGATGGTGCAAGTACTTATGTTTGGATGTCATGGCCATTCATGAGCTGTATATAGTAGTTTATAGTATATTTTTTGGAATGTTGTATTTACATATTGCTTATGATTGTAACAAATGTTGGTAGTATGCTTATAACTTTGTAGATTTATTTTGTTAACTTGTATTACTGAATGACACATCCAAGTGTTACTATGTAGCAAAAAGGATGAAATAAAATACAATACAATACAATACAATACAGGCTATAAAAACCCACCACAGCATAAACCACTTGCAAGAGTTACATTGAAAACATTAAAAACTCCATACACATGAGGCCAATGTAATATCAGTCACAACAGCAAAACAAGGATGTGCACATTAAAGAGCACAAACATAACCTGACCCAAGATCTGCTTGAAAAATCAAAAGTAGCCTAACATGCATACATAGAAATCCACAAAATATGTTGGAAAGAAGCAAAGGTCTTGAAGAATGAACCAAACATTTCATACAGGAAATACAAGGAATCCACCCACATGTCTCTGTTAGATCATTTGATCAGTCAACCCAGCTTGGACATCTCTCCTATCTGGACTCCCATTATCATAGTAGAAGATAGAAAACTGCAACTCCGTCCAGTACAGATTATGTTTGAAAACTTTATTTCTATTTTGATACCATACAGGGAATTTGTCTCTTTAGTGACAACTTCCATTCTGATAGTACTCTAATTTTAACAATAGCTGGGTATAGATGCTAGTCCTCATGTGTGTGGAGTTTTTTTAATTCTTTTAATGTTTGTTTTAACTCTCACAGGTGGTTTGCTCTGTACTTGGTTTATACTTCCTATCTTGTGTTGATGCTAATGTCTAGAGATAGGGACTGGCTCTGTTGATTGGGTCCAACTGAATAGGTTTGACCTGAAGACGGAGACAGAATCCAGTCTCTGAAACGTTGTTTATTTTGAATAAAAACAGGATGATGGATAATGTCCAGAAACACAATAATTGTACTTTTGATGAAGTTTGTTTTTAATGGTTTCCAGTTTCAGTAGGCTTTAGACTAGCATTCAATATTTTTCAAGTATAAGTGGCAGCTATCTCTATGACTTGGTAATCAAGCTTTACATTTATAATGTGGCATTTTTACTCCATGCAAGAATTGCTGAGCCACAGAAACAGCCACTGCTAAGTAATATATGCACACTACAGTAGAACAACGGGGTTATGCAACCCATTTCTAGGCAACAACTCTGTAAACATGCTCGCGGCAATGAACACAAGACAATGATAAAACTGCAATTTCTATGCAATGAAAGGATGTAGCAACAATAGGGAGTCCATTGTTATAATGATACGCGCTGAGTCTGGTTGCTAGACAAGTGCATTGTAAACATGCCTCTACAAGAATAGAAGAGGTACTCTATGTTGCCCATGCTGAAGGTTTATAACTGACACAGAGCATCACTTGAAAATTTTGGTGCGAAGCAGTCATTCAAAGAGAATTCAGAAGGAAGCTGAATAGTTCAAGTGTTGAAGACGTTATTTCATAATTGGAAAGGAACACCAATAAATTCATTCAATATTTTCATTATGCATACCCCCCCCCCTTTACACTTAATAATATCATGTCTGAAGGTAGATTAATTGTTATCACCTATCAAATATTAAGCTGTCACCTGTTGTAGTTTCTCCACCTCTTTCTCTGTCATCCCACAAATCTCCCCTGTGTTAGTTGGTAACTTAAGGCTTATATTGGCAATCTCTCATCTTCCAATCTTGCACAAGATTGTTTCACTTTTCTTTGTATTCAAAGTACATTAGTATATCTCTTAAATTTGACCAAAATAAGGAAGATCAAATAATCTAAGTTAGCTTGGTGAAATCTGAATTCTACCAAGAGGTAAATCATGAAATATAGTAGTTGTGATATTTATGTTTTAAAGAAAAGAATGCATTTTCAGACAAACAACATTTATTAACAGGACAATTGATCACAGCATCAAATGTTGAAGTAGTATCACCTCAAACTCAACAGCAGCAGACAGCAAATTTATGTGGCGAAACACTGCACTGGAAGGACACCACACAGAAAAAGCAGCGCAGAGGTTCACAACAAGATGCAACAATTGTTCAAAGTGCCCTTTCAGTAGTTGATGAAAAGCTGCAAGGTAACAGTATTGAATACCAACAAGTTCATATCCTAGCAGTGGAAAATAATTTATTATACAATACCACTTTGTTGCACAGGATGCTCCTTGAAAAGCTGATAATCGCTCGGCTAGTCAAGGCACCTTGGTTTTTAATAATTTCAGACTCAAGGTGTCTTATGTTCCTTTCCACTATTCTTAACTTATATTCAAACACCCTCAACACATAATTACAATATTTTTATTTTAAATTAAGAATTATAATAAGTTTTAACAAACAGGTTGGTCTAGAGGCAGTTTTCTAGGCTTCTATTTGGGAGGTGCTTGGTTCAATTCTCAGCCAGAACATTTGACAATTCTCACTGAGGATTTTCATGGCTTTCCTCAGTATCTTGAGAAAGTGCCAGGATAGTACTTAACATCAGGCCACAACAGCTCTCTTCCCGATCCCTTCCAATTCATAATCATTCATATCTCATTCTACCATCTAACACTCTCTCAATACTGAAAGCAACATTAAATAACATATGAAGAGAATATATAGTAAGTCCTATTACATATAAAGAATAGGCATCATTTCAAACAATATTTGGGACTAGTATGTGTCACAATATCTCTGTTGGTAGCAATGGCTATGGGCTGGACAACAAAGGATTCAGGCAGATTCCCAGCAGGGATGAGGCACAATAGATCACTGTGGTTGCAGTGCAAGGGCCAAGAAGGCCCACCCCTTATACATTCATTCCCAGCAGGGATAAAAGGTTTTTCTATAACACCCAGACTACCTCCAGGGCTTACCCCCCTTCCTAGCCAATGGGTAAAAGGGAATATTTACCAAGAGGTAAAGTAGCCAAGGCATGAAGCTCACCGCTCATCTTCATCTAATGCCAAAGTTAAAAATGTGTGGTATTTTACCTCCATTTCCCCCTATAGCTTCGTGGAATGGTACTTAAATAATTAAGCCCAAAGATAACTTTACCTTTACCTGTTTTATATCACCTTTAACTTTACCTATTTTACATCACATTAGAGACATAAAAGAAAAATATTTTAATATAATTTCTGACAGTTTATGGGCAGTTGACAGGTCTGTGTAGCAGGATCACTCTAGACTCAATTCAGCCATGACAACTAGAGTCCAGCACACTAGCCCATAACCTATATTCAGTATTATTGTTGGATTAGAAATTTGCATTTATAACTCGAGATTTTTTATCTGAACTTCTGTAATAGTAAAAGTAAGCTGTATGAATTCTACCCAGAATTCCTTGTATTCTTTCCTAATAACTTTTCAATCATATGACAGAATTTTATGAAAACTGCAATTAATATCTTGTCACATTACTAGAGACCCAATCTTTGCACTTTTAATATTTTACCACAGATAATACTAGCACAGCAATTTCAAGGGTGAAAGTAACACTGCTGCTTCCTGATGAAGGATTCCAACATCTTTGACAAATATGCAGATTCTGTTTACACAGTTTTTTATACAAATGAACAACAGTGAGACAACTGATAGTATTGAAGGTAATAAATATGAACCTGTGTGAAATTCTGTATGAAGGTAGATCACAAGAATACTATAAGTAAAATTTTACATGACATATTTTTCATGCGTTAACTATAATAAACAGGTAAAAGTAAAAAAGTAAAGCTATCCCTGTAACAGACCATGAAGGCCCATAGGGTTGTGAGACGTTGAGGGTCCCACATTATCTAGACGATCGGCTCGAAGGTGGCGGTAAGGTTGTCAGCCTTATGCGCTGGCCGCGCTTTACTCCCCAGGAAAATTATTTAATACGTGGTAGCATAGTTGGTTGAGGCACTATGCTACAAGCCGGAAGGTCATGAGTTTAAATCCCGATGAGGTCACTGGATTTTTTTTTCAGTTGACCTAATCCTTCCACCCACACTTTGGCCCTGGGGTTGACTCAGCCTCTAACAGAAATGAGTACCAGGAATAATAAACAGGACGACAGTGAAAATCATTGAGGTTCTGACAAATTTAATGTACTGCAAATTGAATCTGTACCAGTGTAAATTACTACAGAAATGGAATATCAAATTATATAATTATTAATCCATAGCTCCTAGCCTGACCATGCAGATTGAAGCACTGGAAGGAAAGTGGGTGTCATAATTCATGGTGGTGGTCTTTCAAAGACAATGATGTAGTATAGGTTTTAAACTATTAGTGATATAACTGTTATGTGTTCCAGGGATCAGACATGAGACTACACTGAGCAGGGAGATACCAGTAATCAATGAACCAGAGTTACGGACTGATGATACCGAGAAACAGCATGATACTGAAAGTGATGACAGTGGAAGCAGCACATCAACTGAGCTGTGTGATGAGCCAGACAGGCTGAGTGACTTTGATTCTGAGGAGCCTACAAGTATTAGTGACACATCATCACAAGTCCTTTCAACAGGAGAAGCCAATGTTACTAAACTGGCATTTCCTTCTACAGCAGATAAATCAGGTCCACCAACACCAGAATCACTTCTTGAAAATAATATTTCACCACTGAAGCCCCCAAAGAATACAGTTATACCCTCAAATTCAAGAGAACTCATTGTATTAGATGCTAAACCTCCACTAATTTCACAATCAGAAAAATTGACAGATAACTCCATTAAGGTAGTTGACACAGAGCCTTCCTCAATGCAGCAGCCATTATTTTTGCTTGAGGAATGTGAAATAAAGCCACCTAAACAAACAGATGAAGTTCTAGTACCTGAAAATATACTGGAATTATCAGTTACTTCGCCAGCATTTGTAGCTGATGACACTGAATCAACTGTTATGAAGGAGACTTCTGAATTGACTTCTCAGACAGAAGCATCTCCATCCACTGACACTCTGCCTGACTTTAAGTTGTTATCGTTGCAGACACCAGATATTTATTTCACTGTTGTAGATAACATCAACAAACTATCAATTTCTGTAGATTCTTCTAGAGCAACAAGTTCAAGAGAAAGTACTTCAGATACAGAGCTTCATAATCCCAAACAGTCTTCATTAGAGAAACCTGGGCCTGAAATAAAAATTGATGTTTCAGATATCTTAAAACAATCTTCATCAACAGAGGAGCCATCTCCAGTTTCATCTGACTTATTTACTTCTTTCCAAACTTCTGAATTAAAAATGGCAACTGAAAACAGTAATAGTGATGAAATTATTTTAAAAGAAAAAGAAGATACTCATTACTGTTTTGAGGTGACAAAATCTGATGAACATATTTCTGAAGATTTCGGTATGGTAGAATCTGACATACATTTTACAGAACAGCCTGTTACACACCCATCTACTTCAGAAGTAATGCACCCAGAAGACAAAAATGAAGTGGCAACAAGTAACATTTGTGCAGAGCTCAAATCTGTGAAAGTTACAGACTACTGCAAGCAAAAAAGTGCATTAATACTAGGAATTACTCAGGAGAGCCATCAAGATATTTGTAAGTCATTACATAGCCCTATTACTGAAACACTACAATGCCTACGCAAGACAAAAGGCATTTCACCTACATCTTTTCAGTGTAGTGATTTTTCTCCAACAGCACCTAACAGGATGCTACAAGATGATATTTGTAGCACTACAGACAGAGATAATACAACAAGGGAAATTTGTGCTGAAACTAATAGGGAATTAAAATCAGAAATTGGAATATGTACAGAAAGTTCAGCACTGGAGACTGACAGTTCTTGTGTGGCTTTCAGTAATGTTGAAATATGTGATTCTGTAGAAGATGCTGAACAAGTGAACACATTGCAGGATTTCAGGAATACAGAAGATAGGAGTGCATGTGTGGATGATAGTGAAAGTGTTTCAGAGTTACTTGAATTGAATCAGAGATTTCAGGATAGGGAACAAGCATGCGAGGTAGGAAACATAGCAGACAAGGGGGAAACTGATATAGACTGTGCAGAAATGAGTGAGCTATTAGAAATTGACCAGAATATTAATCTTGGGCGTAGGAACAGTGAGCGTGCACTGAAGATCATACAAGAGAATTCAGAAATTCTCCAGCGAATTTTACAATGCCAGGGAAGACGTCCAAGTAAGCTATCAGATGATGAATCCAATGGTGGCACCACAAAGTCTTCAGAAGCTGACTCCAATCTGCCATCCATCGCTACATCTTCCAGTCCAGAAAATGTTGACATGATATGCCAGCAGCTACAGGCTGTAAGTGACGTACCAAAAATAGATTCACGTAACAGTTGCATTCTGGCGTTTGTGAGTCCTAAAGATAATACTTCTGTTGACTTACCAAATGAAGTGTCTTCAAGTTCACCAATTCCTAGCCATTCCCTTCCAGAAAGTGAAGTCTTCCTAGACCACCTGCAGTCTGACAAAGAGATGTCCCTAAAACTGCAGAGTCCTCAGTGTGAAAAGGAAGAACATGTCATGGTCACAACTACAGAATACTGTGATAACCATTGCTTTTCAGCTCCTGATATGCCTGAAGAATTTCTGAAAACACAAAACTTCTTAAAACCTCAGCAACATGAGAAGCGAGAATCACTTCTTAGATCAGCTAGAAATTTTGTGCTCTCCCTAGAAACTACAATCAAGAAAGATCCTAGATGTTCTTTAGCTTCTGAAGTTTTGAAACCAAAGCCAGAGACTGATGATGTTACACAAGTTTTCCACCCTTCTGATGAACAGTTTCAGTCACACTCAGAAGACAGAGCTACTCCTAATATCTCTGTCCATTCTTTGCACCCCTTAAGTGATAATGTTCACCATAAGGATAGCAGAGTAAGCAGAACAACAGAGCTGGAGCTTGACAGAGAAAACTATTCATCAAAAATTCAGTCTGGTTGGAAAAGGTTTTCAGGAATGGACAGCAGTTTAGGTGAAAGTATTTCTTCTAAATTCCCTAAACGCTATTCACTTGAAGCCACAAACTGTAATTCCTATAGCTCATATGGTTCAAAAGATGGAAAGGAGAATTTAAAGTATCTGGAATCTTCTGTAAAAGCAGTCACAGACACAAAATCATTAACATCTGTTAAATGGACTGATGATGATGATGATAGTGATGGTGACTTTACAAAAGATAAACGTTCCATTACACTTGAAAGAACTTTTAATGATTTTCAGTCTCATACAGATACATGTTTCTCAAAGCTCTCCAACGACTTACCACCAACTTCATCTTGGTGTTCTGAGAAATCTAAACTAAAAGATGATTCCTCGCCTATAAAATCTGTCACTGACAGTCACAATTTATTTTCACATCCTAGCACTAGCTCTTCAACATACTCAGCAGACCTCAGAATTTCAAAGCCTTACACTAGCATTTCAAGGTATGAATATTCTCCTACAAAATCAAGGAGCAGTGAGAAGGAATCTAGCACACATTACTTTGAACATGACAGCAGTAAACACAGAGATGCCCTTTCACCATGGTATGCTGAAGATTCAAAAACCTGTCCTTCAGATAAATTTAGTTTCATATCTTCAGCTGATAGAACCGAAGTATCACCGATTGGTGATTACCTACAAAAATCGTCCTGTTCTTCTAATAAAAGACTCACAGAAGACTTCCAAAATAGTTGCCATTCCAGTGCACCTTCAGCCTTCGAATTCAGTAGTGGAACCTGGAATGTGGTGCACAGAACCACCAGAAGAGATCATAGTCGGCCTCATTCAACTATAATCACAGATGCCACCCCGACAGAGATTCTGAATCGATCCTACTCTTCAAGTTCCATTGATGGCTACCTTACAAGAACAAGACCTGACCTACCATCACCATCAGCTTCACCTGATCGAGGACAACCTCTCTCTTCCTTTAAATCTGTACATGATGAATCATCTTCCCCTGCTCCCACAGAGACAAAAAGTAGCATGTTCAATCCAATTCGTCCATGTGAAATGGACATTCCTATGCAAGTTTTAGCCACTGATCAATACAGACATTCTTCCAAGTCATCTAGAAGAAATGACTCTCAGCACAAATTCTCTATTAAGGATCTGTCACCTCCAGGTTATTCATCATTCCCACAGTCAAGATGGGAAAAAGATAATCCATCATCATCATCACCACCGCCACCCATTAAATCAGAGAATAGTAATGAAACATCTGACTCTCAAATTTTCTCCACAGAATCTTCCTTGGTTAATGCCCCTTTGTCAGCAACTAAATTAGGTAAGTCCCCTACAGTTTCACCAACAAGAAGTAAAGATATTCATGTTTCTTTGCCTCCTATAAAGGCATCAAATATTGGCAGTCCAACAAAATCAAAATCAAAATTTGACCCCTTTCCCCCAAGATCAACAATGAGGCAACCCAAGGAACTGGGCATAAAGTTGGGTCTCTATTCAACAGACTGTGTAAATAAGAATGGAAAAATAGCAAGTAAGAAAACATGAGAATAAATTTTGTCCATTTATTTAAAACTAACAAGTAAGTATTTACACATGCCATATTGAAATTAAAACTGAAGAGTCTACCCTTCCTGAAATAATCCTTTTCCTATACTTTAAGATATAATTCCTATAGAAAAGGGAAATTAAATTCTTTTGTCATTACAACAGTAATATAATATAATGTAATATGATGATGATGATGATGATGATAATAATAATAAAAGCGCACGAGTATTATGATTCACGAGAAAGAGTACCATGTTGTTATTAGTTCAATTTCTTTGGTATCTTTTATCAATGCCACACTGACATCATAACTTGCATTGTGCGGAATAAGTTCTTACAACAGAAGCACATGCTCCAAGGACATATTTTATTTTGTTGATGCAAATACCCATCATCGTAAGTGTTAACCAAATACCACAGTGCTATACAATATTATTTCTGTAACAGCTTCCTTATCAAGACTGACATGGTAATTGTCCACATTGTGCACATCCCAAGGTTCAACAAATACTGGGTGTCTGATGTGGCCTTTTGATCCTCCCAAATCATGCATTTTTGTCTTCAAAGAGTACTTTTCAGATTCATCTGCTACGTCTTTCTTTACTCTGGATCATTATTTTACACAAAAGAGGTCATACTCTTTCATGTCACTAGCAGGAACTTTACTTAAAAGAACCTGTATTCAAGAAAAAAGGAAAAGGCAATGCTTTAGTCTTGAATGTGTAACCATGTTGATTTTTGGTAGTTAAAGAATTTGTTAAATGAAATATATCATCTTTTTTAGTTTTGAATGTTCATTTGAGATTCATAAAAAGATGAAATGACTTGAATAATGCCTAATGTCTTAAAGCAGTGCAGATATTACATATTACTAAACCCTGAACAGTGGCGGCTCATAGCTAAAATTAGTGGGGGTGCTGCTCCAGAAGCGCACAGTTCCATACAAAGATCTGGCTACTGACATTAAGCTTAAGGATTATATATTGTATTGTACAAGTATAAAGAAAAAATTACAGAAAAAAGGACTCATTATATAAATGTTATCGATAATATCATGTGGAAATTGGGGGTGCTGCAGTTCGCAGTGCCTATATGCGGGCCGCCCCTGACCCTGAATAAAAATATATCAACTTTTGTTCATAGGATTTGATGTTCTCACAGCTGTGATTATGAAGAGTTCTATCTTCTGGAATATAACATTGTGTAGTCTGGTAAAAGTCAACCAACATTTCAGAAGAATGTGTCACCTCCATCTTCAGGGTTGAAAAGTAAGCCAAGCACTGCCTGCTGCCTGCTTCATGCTGGTATCTTGTGTAACTTACTTTTCAACACTTAAGATGGATGCAACATGTTCTTCTGAAGCATCAGTTGACAAACAAAAATGATGTAAGAGTGTCAATGACTGACTTAAGAAACTAAAACATGGCTTGGAATGCTTCACAAACTGACACTCATAAAATATAAACAAAATGAAACTAGTATTCACTACATAATATTTCATGGCATAATATTGATATTATATGCCAGACAATCAACTTCTCAATTAATGTGACCAAAAATTAGCATGCAGTCCACTTTCCAAGCCCAATCTAAGCAACAAAGGTAACTTCAGGAGTGGGGTGAGGATTAGTTCCTTGGTACTGTAGTCCCCCCACACACCAGATGAGTACGGAAAATTGAAGGAATAATTCGCAAGGGAAAAGCAAAGCACTCAGAGTAAAACATATCCCAGTGTCATTCTGTTCACCACAAATCCAATATGAAGTAACCTGGGAATGAACCCAGGCCTCCACAGAGACAAACTAGTAACTAACAATTGTTATCCTGTCTTCTAGTGAAATTACAATTCTGCACATGACATAGGAAATGTCAGATTTGATGTTCTCATGACAGTGACCATGAAGAATAATATCTTCTGGGATAACACCATGTGGTCTGGTAGAAGTTTACTGTTTTGGAGGAATATACAGTTTCCATCTCCAGAGTCAAAGAGTAAGTAAAGCAAGTAACAAGCAGCTTGCTTCCTTGATCTGTTGACTCTTCAACTCTGGAGATGGAAGCAATACATTCCTCTGAAATGGCAGTAAATTCTACCAGACTACATGGTGTCACATCCCAGAAGACATTATTCTTCTCAATATGAATAAGATCAGCTGTAAAATTATACTAAGTATATGTTTAGTTTCAAAATGTAATGACATTACTTTATGATTAATTTGCCATCCTTACAATTTCATAGATAAGAATTCCAATGAGTTATGTCATAGTGTAAGGGAAAAGATACTACCCATGTACAGATATGAAGTTGACATAATAAAGATGTCATTATCTAATTCTCATAAAGAACCTTCAACATTACACAGTATGAACATTCCACTAGTAGTTGTCTATTGCCACATCACAGACTCTTGTGAACATAGTAATGAATATTCAGGTTCCATAAAAACCAGGGAATCTCTTGATTAGCTGAGAAGCAATTAGATTCTCAAGAAGAATGCTGCTCCATGGTGTTACATTGCCACTTCCTTGTTTCATAATACAGTTATTTAAAAGAGACAAATATAATGTCCAACACAGTAACTTCTTTTCCTCTTTCTTCTTACATATCAATCATCACTGTATCAACTCAGTTACAGAACTGATTGCAACTTATGTGAAAATGAAGTGTTTCTCAACCATACTCCTAATTTCTGTCTATCTTAAAAATCCACCAAATGCTGCTGTCAATCACAGCAGAAATATTGACTGAAAAATCTCTTTATAAAATTACATTATACTTAAACTTGCTCAGTGAATGTCATAAAAAAGAAGTAAAGCTATCCCTGTAACAGACTGTGAAGGCTCATAGGGTTGTCAGACGTTGAGGGTCCCACATTATTTAGACAATCGGCTCAAAGATGGCAGTAAGGTTGTCAGCCTTAAGCACCGGCTGCACTTTACTCCCCAGGAAAATTATTTAATTAACTCCTGGTACTTATTTCTGCTAGAGGCTGAGTCAACCCCAGGGTCCTAGTGTGGCTGGAAGGATTAGGTCAACTGAAAAAAATAGTACGTGCCTTTAGAAAAGGAAATGAGGATATTCTAATGAACCTGTAGTCAAACTGGATTTCTTCCTTCTAAGTACGTACTTGTTATGACATATTCTTGACACATTACAATGGTATGTTATACCAAGCAAATGGTCAGCCCATTTTATATGTTCTCACAATATTATTTTAAACCATTTTCATGTCTAAAATGAAATGAAATTCTATGCAAGGTATTAAAACAAAGTGCATTAAGAACCATTAAATTATCTGGTCTAATGGTTCTGGAACTCAACAAATTTGTCACCTAAAGAAGTAAGTGTGAGCTGGGATACTTCAGTCAGCATAGCAACTATAGTTTGGACAACTGAAAAATCAAGGCAAGAGATTCCTCTCTTCTGCACAGCAACCAAATTAGCTCTGAGGTCAACCAGCCTCCTATACAATTGATACTGTGAGGCTCTTTCCATGTTAGTAAAAAAGTTGGGGCTTGAAGCCAACCACTCACCCCAACCTAGTGCAAAGCTTAAGACTGCATGAAACTATATCACCACTTCCCGTATATCTTCACAGTGTGGTGCTTAATTTAGCTAAAGGATAAAGAAGAAAATTCATTTCACTGCTATCTTGTATCAACCAAACCTAAATGAATGGATATTATACTGAAGGCATGTACAGTTTAAAGTAAATTTCTCACAAACTCTTACCTTCACTCTGTAGAAATGAGAAACTTAAAGATGATCTTATTAAATAAATCTTTTATACATAAAATATAATTCATCGAAGTTTTCATAAATTATTCTATTCTAAAGATCCCTCTTCATCAGCAATTTTTCAATAATATAATAATATTCCCTTGGGAACTGAAGACCTCCTTTTCTTGTAATTATCCATTGCATTGGCGATCTAAATTATATGCACTGAAACACATTCTTTATATCAATATTGTCCTCGAATAGGTTGAGAAGCACTGAATTAAACTCTTAAAATTTGTTACTAATTAACATACTGGTAATTTGTAACACTGCTGACAATAAGAGAACTAGGGAAAAGCATTTTCCTAGAGGTGCAAGTAAAATTTAGTTCCAGTGTAAAAAGGTATATTGCTGTTCCTTATAAACTGTTGTTAGTGCAATATCTAATATTTGTCCTAGTTTAATTGCACTCAGTGACAATGTATTGAGCATGTAATTGATGACTGACAGAACTGAAAATAACTGAGGAAATAATTTTGTTTTACTGTTACTTTTAAGTTCATGGGAGACAATTTTGTGTGTAACATGCCTTTATGTGAATTGCTCAGGCATATATTATATGAAGGACTAAAGTAATTATTTTACTGCAGCTTTAACTGAATTAAATAAGATAGTAAAATATATGCCAAAATATGCCCTGCAACTAAAGAAAGATTTCAAAGAGCAGGGTGCAATTAGATACTGCTTTTACATTTGTTAAAATACCTCTATTATTTATCATAATAAATGCATTTTGAGTATAATTAATAAATTATGACTCTTTTAAGAGTCATATGTTTGTTTCTTTCTCATTGCCTCAGTATACAATGTAATTCTGTCTGTACTAGAATCACATGTTTACTTCATCTTCAATATAAACAAGCAATCAGTTTCACAAGTTCAAACTAAATGATGCTGGTCCAGGCATTAAATGAAATTCTGATAGCCTACTTGGAGAATATTGGGTGAAACATTTCATAAACCTTACAGGATTAATACATTAGAAAACTTCATTACTGACTCTGCAATAATGTATAACATCTGTTCTGTATTCATTGTTAGTTCAAGCCTGCTTATCTCATTCATATCTGCATCCTTCCATATAATGTTTTGTTGACTGATTTCTAGCTTGTATTACTTCATTCCCACTAAGAGTTGTACATCAGTTTCAGAGAAAACATGTGACTACCACAGCATATAGCTCTCTCAAATTATGAGGCATATATTTTCCATGTTTATATTGAACACCAACATTAAGAGTTCAGCATTGACACCTTCTAAGCATGCATCATCATCAGATTCATTACTAGAAGTTTCCTCATTAATGTTTATGATTATCTGGTCACTCATGTTATCACTCAGACCATCCAGTCACCACATTTTCGCTTCCTCCTTGACAACCATATGTATCAAATGCTAATGCCTAATGGCAGATGTGAG